TGTCCTCCATATATATATATTTTATAATAATTAGCATGATTTGTTCCCAACTACATGGAAATCTGATCAGTTCGACATAACTGTTTCCATATTATTTGTTGTTTTCCTTTTTTAGATATTGATTCCCATATATTGTTATTTCCATTCTATGCTATTTAAATCTGTAATGATTCAATCAGAAATATAATGAATATTTCTGTTTTTCATTCAACTGTATAATGTAACTCTCTTTAACTTTTAAGAGATTAGTCACTGGAATGATTAGTAGTGCGACGCTATATAGGATTTTGGAATAATGTAAATGAATTTTGCTTTTTGATATAGAAATGGGCATGTATTGCTGTATAATCACCGTGGTTTATTTCAATTTTATTTTAGCATTGAATATTAAATTAACATGAAAAATTTGCAAGTTTAAATGGAATGTGTAGCAAAAGTAATTCCACGTGTTATTTAGTAATTAAAAAACAAGATCGTAATGAACAAGTTATACTTATATTATCAGTTCTATGCAACCTATAAAATGAATATTACAGGTGCGTGTGTTTATAGCGCAATGATCTATTCAATGAAGACATTGATTCCCTTTTAAATATGAAGGCAAAAGACAATTTAACCGAGTATAAAGATCCATGTTAAAAGATTCAATAATAGTTTACTAACATGGAATATAAGCAACATTCTTCTTTTTACTTTCTTTATAATTGGTGACTTAGTGAATAATTATTCGAAATTACAAAAATTTTGTGAGCTTTGAACTCATTTTAATGAGTTTCTCTTGATTTAGTGGTGAAACACACAAAAATTGTCATTTTAAACCAATAATACAGTGATAGAATGACTATCAGCTAGCAATTTTTCTTTATTAATTTATCTTAAGTAGAATACATTAATAATACTTTTAATAAAAAATGCTTCCACAGATAATGCTTTTATGACAATGGTTACATTTGTCATGATAATCATAATAAGCCGCTAAAGAAAATATTGGCATTGACAAGAAGAAACTCAGATTCAGATATTTTAATTGGCTACTCTCGCCAGAAAATGATTAAAATTAATGAGTGCGGTTGTTCTGTAGGCGCCGTCAGACCAACCCCTTTTTTCACAATTTATTGTTTGTTTCGAAAATTCCTTGGTATTTACGTACTAGTCAGCAGTCACATTCAGATGGAAGACAAACAAAGCCCATGATTTCAACTAAGCAATTCTAGAAGCTTTATTCTGCTTTTCTGTGAACAAGCTAATGAAGCAAAAACAAGCTCTCAACTCTTACGAAAGGCCCGAAGATGGAAGCAGTAATACATATTCTTTATGTACATCAAGAAAACAAGGCAAAAAAAAAGAAGAAAGACATGGAGAAAGTTCCTATGATGTATATATAATATGTTAATGTATCATACCCAGTTGCTGGACAAAGAGAAGTTGTGGAATCTGAAAGAAAGATCCCCAGCTGTGTCTCTCTCAAGCTGCATTGGCTGGGAACCATCACTGCTGACACCACCACCTGGACCAGACCCTTCAGCTGGTAATGGTAATGGTAATGCCAACACCGAGGGAGACAATCTTGTACTTTCAACACTTGAAGAGGCCAATGCTCGGTCCCAAAGGAAGACATGCAGGAGAATAGGAACTTTGGTGTGTCTATGCAATGAGAGTTTCTGGCTCAATGAAACAGTGTCATAACACCTAATGGCTCCTGTTGAAGAAACCATCCATGGGAGGACTGTCTGATTTGAAAGTCTAGAAACTACCAACAACCTTGAAGTGTCTGATGCTGCCTTGTACAGATTGCTCAGTCCTGAACGTGTGGCTGGTACATTTTCTTGGCCATCATCAATAACTGTTGAGATGAAAATAAAACCCTGTTGGTCACAAACAAAAGTGTTATAAGCTAAAGCCAACAACAAAGCTATCTCTGTTTGACAATATTAAGTGTTTGCATGATTCAGTGAGAGAGACCTCTTCTGTACGACTAATGGCAAAGCCAAGCTTTGTATCATCCTCTTTTAGTTTTATCTCAATTGAGAACTCTCCTCCGATTGGAGCATACCAGAGCCGAACTGCTCTAACAACACCAATATCTACTCCATGATAATCCTCAAAACCATAAAGGCTTGCATTTGCAAGGTTAGATAAGTCAGATAATGACCCTGCATTTACAGTGGAAGAAGCTGTCTCTCCTGAGATCTGTCACATAAAAGAACTTCCAGTTACCACATAATGCAACAAGAACGATTACTAATCTCTCAAACTATTATTGTAATATGACAACATTCTAACCAGTGTCTTATCACAGTGCCTCCCCTAGTGTCAGACAAATAGTGTAATGTAATTCCAACTTCAAAATTCAGACATGATGTGGCACAAATTATTTATGTTCCATAATCTGAAGTGGGAGTGTGATTTTTCTTTTTATGGGGAGAAGTGGAGAGCTGATGTAACAATGCAGTTGGGTATCATATAAAAATGGAATTTACAGAAGTTCAGATGACTCATGGACTAAAAAGTTTTAGTGTGAAATGAGAGGAGCCTAAAATCAGTTTATACACACCAGGTGACCTGTTAGAAATCAATTTCTTAGTAGTAAACTTGTAATAGAGTCGTCACATTGTGCTAGCATGCCACAACCGAATGTGCCTCAATGCAATAGAGAAAAATATTAGGTAGTCCAATTTCAGCAAGAAAATATTGATAGGTGGTCCAAGACAACATAACAATTTCTCCGTTGCAACGAGGGAATTGATCAATTACCTTGGTAAGTAGGGACTCGGTTTGGATGTTCATAAAGACAATAGGGACCCCAGAAGCTTGAGCAGCATTGAGCCATGTATTTGCCCTGGCTAGTGTGTCCTCCACATCATTGTAGCGAGAAGCTATCCTATCTGAAACTTTGGGAAGAAGTAATATGGAAAGAAAATTGCTAGAATTGGGAACTGATAGCTGCTCTTGCATCCTCCTTTCCCATGGATACGACACATATCCATCCTGTAACCGCGTCCTAGATAGCGCATTTACCATCCTGGTGGTCCTTGAAGCTGCAAAGTGCACTTATTGTTAACAGATTAGATAAAGACACATATCAAAAAGTAACAGTTACAAACTGCATTTACTTTAGTCAACATCAACGTCTATTATTCCATATTACTGCCATGAGCAACACCAAACAGAACTTTTTCTACTTTCCTACTCTCCAAATTACTCTAGATGTGAAAAATGCATGTTTATAAATGATCCATAACCCAAAAAAGCACTAGGATAAACGTCCACATCCTTCCCAGAAGGACATCATGAGTGTCACGCAACTTGAAAGCTATATGTAGCAAAGGTTGCAGCTTTCAGTTGGGAAGTTAATGCGTCAAATATCTTCTAATCCATACTCATTCCACCCAACATATAGTGCCAAACACCAACTAACGCAACGCAAAAGTCTTAGAAAGTGGGAAGAGGTGACTCTCACATTTGTGTGAGGTTGTAATTTGTAAATACTAACAACCATTTAACCAAAAATAAATAAATAAAAATAAAGCAAAGGGGTCACCCAGGGAAATGAGAGAAGATGCAGGGACTCAAATTGAAAACACCAATTGGCACTTCTTGTTTCCTTACTTTTTTTTTTTCCAATAACCCATCATTTTTCAATTAAAAAAAGGTAATTTTAGACAGCTCAACCATGATAAGACAACAATGCCATACCTCGTCCTGTGTAGCGTCTCCTATCATTTTATTTCGAGATATAAAATAAATAAAATAATAACAGAACAGATCAGGGCAGGAATAGATGAACATATCTACCATTGATCCACTCAATAAAACCTAATCAAGTTTTTCATCCATTCCATCTAATTTTTTTTTAATCATGATATTAGTTTAAAATATCACTAATTTTGTCCATGCCTGATATTAAAAAAAAAAAAATTGTTTGCAGATATAGTCAGACAATTTAAAGAAATTGAAGCCGGAAATCGAGGGGAAACAAAACAAAACAACTTAGGATCGATGTTAACAGAACTCAATCATTCGAGCATGTCGTGAGGAACAAAGACAATGAGAAACTAACAAACAAACAAACAAAAACAAAAAGCGTTTGATTAAGGTGAAACGACAACCTTGGAGTTGGAAACACTCGGTTTCGGTTCGATTCGAGAATCCAACGACGTAGTTAGGGTCAGTGATGGAGCGGAGAACGTATTGCTTCTTCCCGGAGGAGTCGTTGGGAACGATGCAGGCTTGCAACTCGGCGAACTCGTGGGGTCCGCGGCGAACCCGAACGAGGATGGATGTCTCTTTCTTCTTGTAAGAGTCTTGGAGGATCTTGTTGACGCCGCTTTTCCCGTTTTTGAAGGGCGATTTGAAGCGTATAAGCGCGTTGGGGGAAGCTCCGATTCGAAGCTCTTCCACGATGTCTCCGCTTTGAAGCATGTCTCCGGTCCACTCATCTGCTTTCGAGCTTCCTTTGAGACATTCTATGGACAACACTTTCGACTCTCGCGACGGCGAGTCTGAACTGCTCTGTGACGCTCGGTCCATGGTCATCGTGTGATGCTAATTCTCTATGATCCAGATCCCATATCGATCGGTGTAAGCTGCGTGACTAAAATAGTACACTATATATATATATATATTAGTAGTAACAAACTAACAACACCTTACCTCACTAACTCTTGAACACTTATGAGAGCAGAGGAGAACGAAATTCGTGTTTTGAGAGGGTTTCGGATTTCGTGCTTCTTGTGGTTGATTAATAGCTAGCTATGCTTGTGTGAAAACCAAATGTTGAATAGTTACAGAAACTTTGAATGGTAATTTTTTTTTTCTTTCTTGTTAGTGATGACGAAACTATGGAAGAGATGTCAGGCCGGTTGGATTCTGAACGTATGAAACGAAAAAATTTAAGTATAATATCTATTGCGTAGATAGTGACGTTATGTACTTGTATTTAATACAAGTTTAATTATTATATATTTTTATATATTATTAAAGTAAATTTTTATTTCTAATTAAAGAATAACATAAGTTAGAGAATCAGTATAATTTCTCATATAAAAAATTTGCAGCAAATAAAAAAAATATATATATATATATATATATTTATTTATTACAGAAATGC